ATATATGCCTTTGTAAATTTATAAGTACATTCATTCTACTTTTTCTAGTATTGAAGCAAATGCCTGTTCATTTAAAACATTCAAGACATGTTAGTAGTGCTGGACCAGCATTTAGTCCGCAGGTGATACTTGTCCACAGTCTTTCATTACATGTCTTTAGTGTACAAAACACTATTCAACAGACCAAAAAGACTTGAGAAACACCTTAGAATATTTCAAATATTTGCTTGAATAAATTCATTCCTAAGTATAACAGTTTTATAATTCATGTAATTTGTTCTTATGATAGGCATTCTACACACACACATATAATTCAGTCTGCAAGGTTGAAGTAACTGGAAAGGAACCATTTGTAACTGTTTTGACTTACTTTATAAACAGAAATGTTCTATGATTTTGGTTTGCATTCAAGTTAATCTGCCTTAGAATTAATGTTTAAAACAATGAGCTATCGGAAGTATCCATTATAAATTTTATGCACATTTTTTCAAGGACAGAATAATGTCATATAAAGAGCTAGTATTTAAATGTAGATCAACATCGCGGTAGGGATTTAATGTAATCATTGTAAATGAGCTGTTTATATTTATAAATAATATTGCAGTTACTTTGATTAGGGAAAAAGGACAGTCCCACCAATTAATTTCCTCTAAGTCATATAGGATTATACTATCATTCATAGAAAAATTATGAATTGATAATGTACAGAAATATCAAATGCATACTTCTGTTAACATATAATTGTATCTAAGTCTTTAAAGGGTACTGATCTTTATGATCAAAATAGTGATAAATAAATAAACCACTTCTATATCTTTAAAAAATTAATTATGTTTATCAGAATACCAAATACTTATCCTAGTATCAAAGATTACATAATGAAAGAATATAATATGCATCAGTCAATATGAAATCATGGACTACACTTATCAAATCTGTGTAAGCATGAACAGGTTGGAACAAGTCCCATCTTTGGATGTGACGTGTAATGTGCTCATAATGCGAGACAAAACTTATAGTCCACATCCAGGCAAGATTGTAATAAAAAAGTATGCCTATTTAAGTACCTTCAAAAAACGTATGAGTATAAAATGCAATATGCCACTTTCTAGGTGCAAACACAGTTAAGTTTAAAACTGCTCAATTAACAAATTTTCATGAAATATGATATTGGGAATTTTACTAGAGTGACCATACATTCCAAATTGGTTAAAATCAGACAACAGTAATGGACACGCTACATGAAGACCTACATATATTTCTGGTTAATCTTAGTGAAGAAATAGTAAATGAAGGTGAGAGAAGCTGTCTGCAATTTCAGACGAGGGGCTTAGTTCCTGCATCTATGTTCTAATCCAGCTATCACTTTTTGTAGATTATAATTAAGAATTTGCTTCACAAAGTAAGTTATAAGTAGGAAGAAATGCACTTGAATTATAATCTTATAACCAACATCAAACACGTTTGAAAGCATGCTCACCACCACTGCAGTACATTTTATGGTTCCACAAGATTGGTATTAACTCCCTGGTAGCAGAACCTGCAGGTCCAACAACACCAAAGCCTGCCACCAGCCACACTCCTGAGCCAACTCCATCCATTTACCATCCTCACAGCCCATCTCCCTAAGATCCATTTTGATAATATCCTCCAATCCCCTTCTTGGTCTATCCAGTGGTCGTTTTCCAGAAGGATTTCTGACCAAAATTCTGTATGCACCCCTTGCCCTCCCTCATTCGTGCTACATTCCCAGCCTGCTAGATTTCACTATCCTCAGTGTGCTACGTGACCTGTACAATTCACTTAGCTCCTCATTATGTAATATTCTAAATTCTCCACTTATTTCATCCTTCCTAGGTCCAAATATGTTCCTAAGCACCTTGTTTCCAAACACTTATAATCTATGTTCTTCCTTCAAGGTAAGAGATCATGTTTCACAGCCATATAAGACAAAAGGCAAAATTATTGTTTTATAAGTTTTTTGAATTGAATAAAAACGAGCACTTCCTGAATGTATTCTGCTCTTAATTTCATCATGGATCTCATTTATATTTGTTATTGTTGTTCCCAGATACTTAAATGTTGAAACATTTTCAAATGATGTGTTACTACTGCCATTGTTGTCGGACGGGGCGTGATGCTGACCACTCACCCCCATCTAGTGCCGAGGTCAAGGAAGAGAGGAGTTATACCTCCACTCACCCCAAACGCCTACATGGCGTATAGTGGGACAAACTTTACTTTACTTTATTTAGTTTTGTCTACATTTACTTCTAGGCCTATTTCCTTGCTAGCCTGTAGGAGAGTTTCTGCATTCTTGGTTATGGTACTCACACCACCCCCAGAAAACTGATATCAGCATAGGCAAATACAGGCATACCTCGGAGATATTGCAGGTTCGGTAACAGATCACCACAATAAAGTGAGTCACGCAAATTGTTTGGTTTCCCAGTGCATATAGAAGTTATGTTTACACTATACTGTAGTCTATTAAGTGTGCAATAGCATTATGTCTAAAAAAAACATTGCGAGAAATACCAAAATGTGACGCAGAGACACAAAGTGAGCACATGCTGTTGGAAAAATGGTGCCGATAGACTTGCTCGATACAGGGTTGCCACAAACCTTCAATTTGTACAAAACACGATCTGCAAAGCGCAATAAAATGAGGTATGCCTGTATCTGGTGCAGACCATTTAATCTGAGCCATTCCTGATGACATGTTCTACAGCAAAATTAAAAAACATTGGGGATAAGGCATCCCCTTGTTTTAATCCACCCAACAACTTTCTTTGGTATTCCAAACTCAATCAAAATGCCATACAGTACCTCTCTTCTACCTGAATCATATGCCTTCCTAAAGTCCACAGTTGGTGTAGTGACCTATTACACTTCCACTTTTTCTCTAATATTTGTCAAATGCAAAAGGTCTGATCAGTTGTTGGCCTCTTACAGCAGAATCCACATTGATCACTCCTGATAGTTTCATTCCTAAATGGAGTTAACCGTGCCAGAAGAATATTCGATAAAATTTTGTATGACGTTGACAAACGAGATACCTCGGAAGTTACTGCACTCAGTTTTGTCACCTGTTTTATGGCTAGTGACAACAACCAATTCATTCCACTATTCTGGTAGCACTTCCTGGTTCCAAATCGAGACTATAAGCTTATGTATCTCTGAGTGCAGTGTCCTACCACCTGCATGGAGTACAGTCCTTTATTTTTTTTCAACAATATGGATCATCTTTAACATTGGATGACAGAAGTACCCTACTAAACATGAAATTGGAACTACAAAACTTATTAAGTTGATGACTGTGGTCTGGATTATCAGGATTAAATTCTTGAGATATTTTTCCTCACCACTGAATACAAAATAGGAACCCGGATAGCTCAGTCAGTGACTAGCTACAGGCTGGACAACTGGGGCTACCAATTTCAAATATGTATGATATACTGGGTGATTCAAAAGGTTAGGGCCAAACTGAAGAAGTGTATAGAGGGACTCAGAGAGGAGAACTTTCGAATAGAATCCATGTCCTCCGAAGTTACCGAGTCAGTCGAGGCCATTGAAGGTAGGGAAGTCTGATAACATACCGCTGAAATAATCTTACTTTGCTTTCTCCTACTAGCTTAATCTTGTTTTTTTATTAATGTACAAGGATTACATTAGCAATCTTAAAATTACGATTATTTCAGCGGTATGTTATCAGACTTCCCTACCTTCAATGGCCTCTACTGACTCAGGATAACTTCGGAGGACATGGATTCTATTCGAAAGTTGTTCTCTCTGAGTCCCTCTATACGCTCCTTCAGTTTGGCCGTAACCTTTTGAATCATCCTGTATAAGAAATATCTCTATAGGTTTAACACATAATTATTCACTACGTAGTCTCTGAAGTGTCATTACAGATAAACTAGAGTTGCATTACCTACTGACAAGAGTATCTAGCCTTCTCACTTTTAATGCCATTGCAAATGTTCTCAGTTTCTATTTCAAACATACTACCCATCAGTTACTAAGTTCCGTCAATATAGTGTGACTACAGACTACACAACGCGTTAGATCCTCAGCAGACGACAGATTTTTTCCTCTAGCCTCTGCATGCAGACTGGCTCTGGGGCCTACCCAGTCTCTTATCCAGTAAGTACCAGGACTCTTCCCAGGGAGTAAAGCACAGTCAGTGTACGACACTGACACCCCCCCCCCCCTCAATCTAGTGTTGAGGTCAAAAGCAAGTAGGAACTGTACTTCCTCTCCTGCTAAGCACCTTCATGGTGTGCGATGGAACAGCTTTACTGTACCTTTCAGTTACTTATATGTCATCTTGAATATCTATATTCACTTAAATGTCAGACACTTTTCAGATATATGAACACACAGAAAACTGCTGTAACGCTCATGTCTAATATGGGTAAGGCCTTCTGCAGAGTTGACTACATTTTCCTCAGTTTTTAAAACTAACTGCCCAACAGCTATGAAGGAAAAGCATGCTACTCACTTTTCAGAAGTTATCTAGGCAACGTCCCAACTCCCAGCAGTCAACTACTCAACAAATTTCCTGATTTTATATATTCACTATATCACAAAGTCCAACATTGGATCCTTTCTTGAGGTACTTTAATCCAGTTCACATTCTCATAATCTGTTTTCATCAATTTTAATGTTGTCCTTATCTATACTTGAATCTCCTAAGTGGTCTATTCCAAGTTACAATGCAGAATTCAGTTAGTGATCAAGATGAAGTCCGTGGTTGATTCAAAAACAAAATTTAGGCCTACATCCAGGTAAAATATAGTGAAAATCTTTTCTTGGGCAGTTCTGACGGTGACTGCGGTCGGTTCTACTTCTTTCAAAGTTCTGATCATGATTAATAGAACGAACACCACATTAACAAAATACCACTATGTTTACACTGACCACATGCTATGAGAAAGTACGAGACCAACACATCATGCTACAACTACGTTCATCTGTTGCAAGCAGCTGCAGAACCAAAAAAAAAATTATTTATACACACATAAAAGGATGTGGCATAATGCAGTTTTTGGTGGCAAAGGATTAGACAATGGAGGGTTTAAAGAATTCATCTTACTAGTGGGTGGTAAAATTACAATTATTCATCATGATCCTCACATACAAATAAAAACTAACTGTAATTCTATCGATAAATTTTACATAGTAATAACTACCATTGTTCATTAAATTAATTTCCAAACTCCTGAAGCCATAAGTTGTTATTTTAGTATAAAAACATAAAATAAAAGTTGCACATTTTTCAAAGATGCATATTCACACAGTGGCAATGACAACGTTGTTCATCACAGAAAATTGGAACATATCAAGACATGGAGGTGCCTAGTGACATGTTCATACACAAAATTATGACAGCAGATTAATTAATGCCTATAATATCTATATATGTTTTGAAATCTCAATCAACAGACAGACCTATCAGAGGACCGAATGGAAGAGGAGAATTGAGGAGGCCATGGACCGAATATGGACCGGGGAGCCATATAAGAAGAATATTTATGTTTGTAGTTGAATCACATATGGTGCATAATGCACACAGCTTAGAACATACTATAGGGATCCTTTGGAACCAAAAAAATGATGACGTTAATTTATTGTTATATATAAAGAGTTACAAAGGAGTTTTAATTACAGATAAATTTCTAACTGTCTCCTTGCAACAGATTGATTTAATACTCTTTAAATAGTCAGAAACTGTAACAGTACTCACCCATGGATGGAATGTTGATACAAAGAGCTTGGGAGAGTCTGAGGTAGGTGCGTCCAAGTTCATAAACACAAATTTGCAGGACATCACTGAAGTCAATTAGCATATCTGATCATTCATTAAGGTCAGTTTATTACAAATGTCTGTTGCTAGTATTTTAAGTAAGTATGTATCACACTGAAAGTGAAATTGTATTGCTAATAAATTTATAAGTTGCCCTCGGTGGACTAGTGGTTTGCGTGCTCGCCACTGGAGCCAACGTTCATGAGTTCAAACCTAGCCGAGGTTGATGGATTTTTAAGGGTGATAAAAATCTGTAGCACAACTTCCTTTGGAGCGGAAGTAAAGCCGGCGGTCTTATGTCGTAGATTTACGGCATGTAAAAGAACTTTACAAGCATAAGCAAAATTCACCAGCCATTTCTCACCGAAGTCACTCCTTATTCACTACTAGATGGCTCTAGTAGTCAAATCAGGATTGAGTAGAAATTGTGTAGAGGCAGTGGGCACACTTCAAAGCCAAAGAAATTTCCCACATGGGACGAGGCCAAGGCTCAACTTTGGGCTGTTGCGCCACAGAAGAAGAAGAAATTTCTAACTTCCTTTTAAACGAATATTCTTTGTTCCCTATAATAAGAAATATCAGCAGAGAGTAAAATGATTCTTGGTTTATTTAAAGTGTGAAATGATTCTGAATGATGGATTAAAAAGGACATGGAAGGAAGTGGTTATAATCTGTCTTTTATGGTACTATGGCATATGCCTGGAGAAAGTGAGGAAAACCACAGAACCTGTCAGTCAAAGTAGTTCTAATTTCAGTAATTTACTTCTTTTTATTTGTTTAGGTTTCCATGCCCATGTTTAAGTTTTTAGTCCACATGGTTTGAACAGAGGTTTCTATACATGCCAATACATTTTAACTTCCCTGCATATTGCTTTCTTACATATCCAGCAGAGATAGGAAATGCAAAGATTCTTGTATTCCAGATACCTATATGGGTCAGACAGTTTTGCCTCAGTTTCATATCTGAGACGTGCAACAATTTTCGCTGCACACAGCTTGTTTATTGAAGAGCACCTCCTTAACACGTGAATCAATAACAATTTTAATAATATTTTCATTAAATCCAGTTATTGGTATTAGGTAATATCCTAAAAACCTTGAAAACCCATACAACAGTATTAGTATTTTACTACTGTAACAGGAAAGGATACGTGGAGTTCCTTCAGTTCTGCAAGTCATATACACACATGCAGCAACAACGTGGGTATTTCTTCTGCCTCTTGTTAGCTGACGTTGTAATGCCATTTTGTAGAAATTAAATGCTGTATCTATGCAGTGTTGATTTAACCTTTAGTTAAAATAAATCTAATTAAAATTGAAGATTATCATGAGACATTTACAAGTTATTCAACACACTCGTGAGAATAGACACAATAATAAAATAACATTTTTTTTAAGTCTATCCTTGTAAAATTTCAGGTTCCCATGGCAGTGAGTATAAAGATGGCTGTCTTCTGGGTTGTTACACCACGTAGCGTGATACGAGGTGCCTGCTGATTCCAGTCATGCCCTGATGATGGAGACAGCAGGCACCTCTGAAACATCAGTAAATTTCTACAAGACTACATGGTACATCATCCAAGAAGACAACCACCTTCAGATTAATATTTATTACTCAGATATACCTCAAAGTTTCACATGGTCATCTTGTTTACAAATGCTGACTACAAAAAATATTCATGTAGAATTTGTAGGTATGTAGTTGCAGTGCTCGACTAGTCAGTGCTGTCAAACCAAAAGCCTAATGTAAATTTCAGATTTCCTACACTTTGCTGTTTTAAATTCAACAAAAATATTTTGTGAAGGTATATTACCACACATAATTCAAAACCCTTTACATTCAGTAGCACTATGTCACTCCCACCTCAAACGTTGATATGAATATCACATTAGTATTACTGATGGTAACAAATTAACAAGATATACCAGGTTTCCTACAAATCAGTCAAATGGTTTAAAAGTTATCAGGAGGGACAGACACAGAGACATGGTGATAAAGAAAATTAGGGTAAAAACTCTGGCATAATGGAAAAAAGTACATCACTGACAGCAGATGCTTTCACATAAAATACATGATTACCATTGTCTAGAGTTTGACCCTTTGTTCATTTCGATCACTCAATGTGACAGTTAAAATCAGTGTCATGAATGGTGTCAACTCATGGGTCTAGTAGGCCTAACATAGGATGTAAACATTATTAAATCTTACCGAAGTTGTTGAGCCAAACTAACTATTGCTCTTTTCGTGTTCCTGAGTGTTATCTCTCTCGATTCCTTTCCAAGTCCAGCGTGGAAAGCTAAACAAACAGAAGGGAATTAACTGTTATTATCACAATGTAATATTATAGTGACCCAGCAACTAATGTGACATGCTGTTTATTAAGGTCGTGTAGTGTACTAGTGCCTGCATTACATATTCTCCAATTTTGCCATATTCCTGAAACCATCCAGTACTGTTTCCTTTTTACTTTATAGTTCTAAATCTTATTCGTACAAACCTTATAATAGCTTATTTATGACTGTGCCATTAAATTAAATATGGAAGTAAACATTCACTCCCTACTATCTACTGAAAAATAATGACCTAGATTATCATAAAATATGTAATTTGTAACTAATCCCAAAGTCTGAATTTTCTCAGCATATTTAGAAATGCACACACTTATTAATAGTACAATTTGGTAACTTACAACCACCAAAACCTCTTGCGCCTCCTTTAGAATCAGATGAAACAAACTGTCCAAGTGCTGAGCTACCCCCATGTGCATTCTCTTCAAACTGAACTTCAGAGACAATGATGCTGTCTTCCAAAACTGAGCCACAATTTGTACACACTGCATCTCCACGAGCTGGATCTACATCTATTTCAGAGCAGCCACAATTCTTACATTTACCACTCGACATCTTCAATCTATAAAAAGCAAAGAAGAAGTACTTCAATAGGCCAATATTGAATAATAATCATGTTACTAAGAAAAACCCACATGATAAACATATATAAACATGGCTTAAACTAACATATTTGCAGAATGAAAAAATGGCATATCCTGAAACCAAATCTCCATCTTTCTAAGAAAAGCAAAAAGAATGTTGACTTGTCTGTCTTCAGAGATGTTGTACCATGCATTCTGGAAGAAGTTTACAGATGCTTCAGAGGTGTTTACTGCCTCCATCATCAGGGCTCACAAAAATAATGTGATCACCCATGGTTTGGCACATTTATGCTTCCAAAGAACCAGTATTCAGTAAGAGTGGGTATTTCTCACTTTTTAGGTTATGTTGGACTGAATATTTAGCATAGAGAACCAAAAAAAGCTTATAGAATTTTTATGGTAAAACGTCATGCGAATGGGCAAAAATTATGTAATTGTTTTGACTGTACTATGTATATTTACACATACACAAGTTTACTTACACTGCCGCAAGAAACACAAGTCCCATAAGAAATACATACTGGTATATGTAATTCAAAGGCAACTCAAAACTTTATTACATTTTAATGATTAGAATCAATTTTTCTGTCGACAAGTGACTCTTGGATCTTGTCCAAGCCCGCATCAAACAACATGCCCACTTACATCAAGTTTCGTCAAAGCCGTCTTCCGCAAGCTGTAAGCTTTCGTCTGTGGACGGAAAGACCAATTTGCCTTATAAATTAAAAAAACCATATGCAAATCTTACAACAAAAGGGGAACTCACTGCTCCAAGCTACATCAATACTAAATTAATTTTAAACTTCAGCACATTCATCCAGTGCGAGCAGCACAAGGTTATCTAGCATGTAATTTAATCATTTCCTCATAAAATTGTGTATTATATAAAGCAGTACATACCTGTGTATAGTTCATATGAGTGTACAAGACTACAAATGTGACTAAAATTTTACCGCATTTTTATTCATTAAAATACTCAAGTTACATCAACATTTTTAATGCACTGACACAACTACTCTTGAAGTTCCAACTCCCCAGTCCCTCAGGTGTGCGGACCGAACATATGGCTATACAGAATGGCCAACATTCATTCACTAAAATTTATAAGACATTAGAGAACAGAAAGCGTTTCCCACTGAATATGAGTTTATTAATTTAGGGACTCCGGCTTCTTGCTAATACGCTGTTTCGAAATGCATATGTACCGCTGCTTTAAGTAAAATGAACTTAAACACGTACGTAAAATTGGCATTAATATTTTCTTGACTTGCATGGGAAAACCAAACAAGCTCAGCAAGAAGGGGTAGGCAGGATTTTGGAAGTTCCAAATGGGAAATGAATAATCACTAGGCAAATGTGTTGACAAAATTACATGTTCACTTACACATTAGAAAACTCTCATAATTATTACCCAATTTTAAAATATACATATAGAGAACCAAATGAATGGCAAATTGTATCTGGAAATAGAAAGAGTTCTCCCAAGCTGCAGTGAAGCTTTGATTGATTAGAAAAGGAGTAATAAGACATTCACTGCATAGGCATCATACAAACATGCCTACATATAACCTTTTTCCAAAAGTGAAAACATTAACAGCTTTGCATATTTTCTGTCTGACTGTCACTTCCCAATGAATCAAAAAGCAACAATCAGTCTAACAGAGAAATACAATCATTTAATAAACATAGTAAGCATTTTACATATGATAAATTGTCCAAATGAAAGAGACCTATGTTTTGGAGACATTTAACATTTGTGCAAACACTTCAAGGATTTTAAAATTCATGTGTATTGCTAATTACGGTACTATTCCAAAGACCTTCAACCATTGAAAACTGCTATGAATACATTAAACATATGAACAGCAAAATATGAGCAAACACTATTAAATTCAAAGATGGGTATCTTCTGGATTATAGAACCATGTAAACTGGTAGAAGTATATCAACATAATGAGAAAGCATATTTGTATTAGGTTGGATTTTGTTTTCAGAATTACCCAATGGCATCCTTTCAGAATAAGACTAAGAATTTTATATCACAATAATTTCATGAGCCAAAAAAATTATGTTTATTTTGTGACCAATTAATTAGGTCTCCAATAACAGTCATTCAAAACACTTCTTAGTGCTTCCCACAAAAACTGATCAATCAAAATTAAATTGAACTCCTCCTTTACAACATGAACAAATACACACATTCTGCACTATATATTAGATCACATTACACTTAGCTGTATAGTATTACATATAACTCAAAAGTTCTTTTTAATAAAATCATGTAATATAATTTAGTGTCAAAGAATGTCTCCTTTTCTTACTATGTATCTGTGACTGTTAAGGGAAGCATGCCCCTTAAAAAATGTGGACTTCATAAAAACATCAAGCTTCTATTTTGTCCACCTGAAGCACAGACTACAAATATAAAAGTTCTAAAAGTGTAATCACATTTGTTATACAATCAAAGCATATAAGACAATCCAACTTTGACAGGTTTTGCATAAAACAAAAGCACATCCTCACACAGCATATTTCATCAGTCAGGAAACAACAGCATGGAAGACATCCCAATAATGATAAGACGGTTAAAATTTCTATCACATAATTTCTTTGTACAGGCAAGTTTCTAAGTTCTCATGTGTATGTGAAGGTGGTCTAGACCAGTGGTCCGCAATGCGGTGCCCACCAAGGCTTTTTTTGGGTGCCCGTGTTGTTACGAAAAGAGGTTATACTGAATAATGAAGGCTGTTCAACCATGAACATTATAAAATCAAAGCACAGATCTCGACTTACTGACGCCCATCTTGATGATTGTTTGCGAGCAGCAACATCATCCTACACTCCCAAATTTTAAAAACTGGCCGATGAAATGCAGTGCCAAACATCACACTAACTTCCCACTTGAGTAATAATAATTGTACTTATAAAACTACATATTTTTGATTGCGTGGTTTCTTGTATCATTAAACGTTGTGTTGTTTTGTGTATTATTTGGTGTCCATATCTTATTTGTCCAAAGAAAAGAAAATTTGGCTTTGTTAATTGGTTGGTGCCCACGACGATCTCATAAACTCTCAAACGTGCCCGTAAGCACAAAAAGGTTGGGGACCACTGGTCTAGACATTCAACAAAGTACCAGTTATAATCATGAGGTCAGGACATCAGCTCTCTGCACACATTCCACTTAGCAAAACTTTCAAGTACCTGGTTGTGTGCCACACAGCTTATGCACAGACCAAATGGCTGTGTGATACTAGCATATTGCTAAACCATTAACTCCAAGCTGAAGTCTGGCCAGCCAGCTTCATAATGTGCGGATTTAAATACCTTCTTTCCATACAATAAAAGTTAAATACATTTTCATAAAACATTAAGAGCACTTGCACATTCTTGTGTAATACTCAATATGGTACATAACAAAAACTTCGGGTTTACTACTAAACATAATGGAGTTTTGCCATGACTGTCGCCAAGAATAATGTAAGAACTGGTAGCAGACATAAAATTCATATTCAAAGAAAACAGCTGATAATGTGGAATTTGATAAGTGATTCTGATAAACTGAATCCACCATAGTGACATTTACTGTTTCCAGTTATTGCACTTATTCTGAGAGGTTAAGACAAAAAGGAATTAGCTTAATTGTGATTAAATCAACATGTGAATGTCATATGCATATGTGACATATCAATAATTTTAAAAACTGTATGCAAAAAGTTTACAATAAATTCCTTACAAAAAGGATAAATAAATGCTAACAATTAGAGCTCTGTTGTTTCCACGTAAAAATATGTCAGAGAAACGTCAAATATGGGGAAAAGGTGGCACCTTTTTTACCACCCATACAGAATGAGCACATTTCTCACATGCACTTTGTGATATCTTCCCATGAACAAACCTCAGATAATTCAAAATTGTCTTCTGCCATACTAATTGATTCTCTCAATCTCTCTCTCTCTCTCCAATGGCAAATCAAGCCTTGGGTTCTCGATTTTACACCACCAATCATCCCGGTTCCCAGAGGCTATTCGAGGTTTTGTAACAATACAGTGTTTTCCAGCCCAACCACCAACCTGGAGAACCAGGCCTGTGTTTATGGCCCCCAGAGACAGGGTGACCCAGCTATACCTCCAGGCACTAGGTAGCTCAGGGGTGCCACACCCCACACCTACTAATGTGGGCCCCTGAGGGGATACTAACTGATTAGTCCTCTTATTTACAGCAAAGTGTTATTTCTGAAACAACTTCTGATACTTCTAAGAGTTTTTGAGGCAGCAAGTGCCACTAATATGTTAAAATTCCTTTCAAAACAACACAATAAACCAAAACCCAACATCTGCTCAATTCATCAACATTTTCATGGAAATTTTTAAAATTCATCAGTTTTCACATAGCCACCAACAAACTGCATACTTCAAGGCCATGGAAGGACCCCCACACTCCAAGCCACCAGTAGTGTTGCTACAGTGTTAGTTCCGAGCTGCCTTCGCTCACCTAGGCATCACTATTCATGTTGCAAAACTGCAAAATTCTGTTGTGACCTTGAAGCATGCAATTCATTCGCAGCTACTACAGTGGAAAAGTACTGAATCCCATGTAATAGTGTACCCTCCGCTAAATTTTATGTAGAAAACTGAAATGAAACAAATATTTTAGAAAATAAGTCAGTGGACCAGAAATGGCAAGCTGCTTCCCTGTTCAAACCAGCATACCAACTGGACATCCTCAAATGATTATATCAACTGGTATGTTTCCAAATCCCCACTTAATGGTACCTGCACCTTGTTGAGGTCGTGGGGCTTGAGTACCTCAGTGACCCCAAAAGCTATGCTGGCGGTAGCATAGCTGCTGGTAGGGCTTCCCTAGCCAGATTTGTCGAGGGGGAGAGGGCAGACTAAGACCGGTACCCTGGTCCTCCAGGTTGGGGGTTGGTCGCAAGGCTAACAACCTTGCACAGTAAAAAGGAAGATGTTTCGAAACCACAAACAAAGCCTCAAACAGACGGACCTAACAGAGGACCGAACGGAAGAGGAGAATTGAGGAGGCCATGGACTGAATACGGACCAGAGAGCCATAGAAGAAGAAGAAGAGGATGTTTCCAAATGATCTTGCTTCACCATTCAAGCTTTGAAACACAAACCACTGGAAATCCTGGAATGAGTTACATAATGTATTTATTCTTTTTATGACTCTGACAGTATCTCTTCTATAGTCCTGTCATCTTGCAGTGGTGAATTGCTAAGTGCAGGTTCACTTTCTAGAAATTCCCGAAGTTCAGACTCAAGATCTGGCACTTCTCCTACCTCCCCCGCTTCTTCCTCTGCTTCTGCTTGAGAGGATGTGCCTTCAACATCAACCTCCTCTACTATAGGCTCACTCGGCACAGACTCATTAAGCACGCCACTCATTTCTGCAGTTGCAGTGTTTGGTGTTCCATTGTTACAAGATGACGTTATGCCATCAGATGTATTAAGAGTCAAGTTCTGCCTCTGTTCCCCATCTTCATGACTAATGTCCACAGGTGAGGACTCAGCATCCATAGCCTCAGCTGGAGATGCAGGGGGCGAGGTTCCAGGTAATATTCCCATGGCTTTCCTAAGAGATGGAACTGGGGCAATAATGACAGGATCCACCTTTTTGGCCATATCTTTGAGGCTTTCTGTGATTTTCTCCGCTAACAGAAGGAAACAAATTCAAATTGTAACATTCTGTAAAATTTAAAAGTTAGGAATATCTTACTATTCTGACATACACTTTCAGTACACAAATGTGAGGCAAAAATTCAAGACGAAGATAAGAAAAAATTCTTGATGATCATTTTAAAAGCATTTATTGCTTTTAAATTTTAGAAATTATCTTAGACTGAATGTTGTCTTATATTTGTAATTATGGTGGAGCTTTATTTACAAATATTTTCTGTATGAGGTGCCCAGTAGCTTACAGTCTTGCAAAATACAAGGATCCTGTTCATATGGACCTGTCGTCAGACAGAAAACTAAATAATAATAAATAAAAGATATTTCAATACAATTAATCAACACAAATTTCAATTCAAACAGTATATTAACCAACTCACCAAGCTGAACTTCACTATCAGAAGGCTGGGAAACATGGGACAAATGAGCTGGCGGAGTAAGACTTAGCCGATCACTCTGAACTTGTTGTAACTTTTGCAGCAATACAGATGTCTGTTCCAGACGGACTTGCATCGCTTCTTCTGCTACTCTTTGTTCCTCCCTCACTTGTATTTCTTGCTCTGTAATAGGAAGGAGTTTTTAGTAGCCAAAAGAGCTGTGTATTTCATTAGAACTGCTTGTATTCACAAAATATATGATGAAAACTTCTTACTGCTGGGAACTTTAACTATCACATAATAATAATAATCCGTGGCATAACAGCCCTCTGAGAGCCAAAGTCGACTAGCCGCCTGCTGGCCTCACGTTCACATGCCTAAGCAGAGAAGAACGATCATCCAACCAGATATAGGGTGACATGTGGTCAGCATGACGAACCCCAGGCCATTGCTAGTTTCCATGACCAGATTACGCTACCCATTGTAGCTCCCCAATTTCCTCACGATGCTGGGTTGGCACCGGTCAAAAATCTCATGAGAAATTTCTTTCCCCGAGACTTGAACCAAAGCGTATTCCGTATCGCCGGTCCGAAACATGATGCCTCAGACCACGCAGCTACGGCACGGGACTTAACTATCACATAACACTCACAATAATTTATTTCGAAATGACAACTCATAAAACAAATAAAAGAAAGATAAAAATAATTCCTATAACAAGGAAATAATGTTTGAGAGAATGGTTCTATGCATAATTAATCTATTTCAGAATGCTTCGTTTTTCTTTTCAGAGATAATTGCTTTCCTTTTCAATTTATGTACTTGTTTTGCATACAGAACTGAATTTTAAGTACAGCAACGCTCTGTCATTAACAGTAACAATGTGGAAACTAACACAAACCTGTGTAATCTAGTTTGAAGCAAGGCTTCTCTCAGATATCTATAAACAGCATATACAATCACAGAACATTCTAAATACTACGAGGTGCGATCGGAAAGTTTCCAGACTGTGTCAATAGAGGGCGAACCGGATGTAGTACGAGCTTCTGCCGCTAGGGGGTGCGGCCTACATTCACAGTGAATCAGTGTGCCAGCGGGCATCATCGAATTAGCATTTGTTTCTTAGTTACGGGCGTTTTGGTAGTGCATTACACCGACCCTCCTGCGATTTCGGAATGGCGTGTGCATCAAATTTGGCCAAAGACTCGCCAAAACGGCTACGGAAACCTATGAAATGCTAAAGCAAGCATTTGGGGAGTCCGCAAACTTTGGTGTGGCATTCACGTTTTAAAAATGACCGAACCTCTGTCGATGATGACGAGAGTTCTGGACGACCATCTTCGAGCACAACGCCCGAAAATGTTACGAAGATTCGGCAGGCCATTCACGAAGATCGACGTCGTACCATCAACGACTTGTGCGACATTGTTGGGATAGGCTATGGGACCTGTCAGCTGATTCTAAAGAAAGAACTCCACATGCGACGCATCATGACAACGCGCCAGCGCACACCGCCCTCAAAGTTCGGCAGTTTTTAGGCTCAAACACCATGGCCGTCATCCCGCACCCTCCTTATTCGCCGTGTGACTTCTTCCTCTTGCCAAAGATGAAAACTCAGCTAAAGGGAAGGAGATTTGAGACGATAGAAGAGATTCAGGCAGAATCGCAGATGGTGCTTGACAGGCTGACAAAGAAAGATTTCCAAGGATGCTTCCAGGCTTGGCAGCGGCGCTGGGATTGTTGTGTTCACTCCCAGGGGAACTACTTCGAGGGTGATGGATGAATTTAATACCTGAGATAAGTGTACGGGTTTTTATAGGCGCAGTCTTGAAACTTTCTGATCGCACCTCGTATATCAAAAAGTGTTATACTTCACAGTCAACTCAACTTTCCAAAAAAAAATTGTTTGTTATACTCAAAAAAATATGGTATTTGGTAACTTCCTAGTTTTAATAGAAAACAGGCTGATATATAACAATTAGAATAAATATTAATTGCTTATCTTGTGCTCAGTTCTTTAAAAGCAAATAAACAGTACTCACCAACAACGTCAAGGAACTTCGTATCAATTCCAACATCAGAAAGTGCCTTCAAGGCCCCAAAATCAACTTTAATATCTGGTGGTAAAGAAGACAATGAATGTATCTTTTCATCTGACATTAACTGCACAGAAATTGGTTTCCCCTCTAGCAATTGCCTAATCTGTTCCTCTTCCTCACGTAATTTCCGCCTCTCCTCCAATATACGCATTGTCTTGCGATGCTCACCACCCGTCAGTAGATCCAGCAAATTATCTACCATTGTAAGTGTGTAATCACAGTCCTTGGAGAAATCCAAAATGCTGCAATAAAGAATACCAACCAAATTAATTATAATACCTACTCTGTCTTGAACACAAAGTTCAGTACAAATGAAAATCAAATCCGTGTCTTTCAATATCCAAAGAAATTTGTGGTGTATGTACCTGCATATAAAGTAATGCATAAAATACACTAAACAAAAGATCCTCCTCCTTAAATACTTAAATGAACAACAGTATAAAACTAACATTCAGTGAAAATACATTATTACAAAAGCTAATAAAACTAAAGAAACTTGTCTTAATTACTGACTGTCATTTTCCCACAATAAAGGTTTAAAAGTATATAAATGTGAAAGAAAGTTAAGAAATTATATCACATTTTCACGTATTTCCTGTGTCGGTGCCACTATTTTCAAGTACAATAGCAAAATACAAAGGATGAAAGATAGCAACAAACTGGTTAATCGTTAACAAACAATCATATTCCTAACAGACTAGAGGTCATATTTCAATCATTCACTTTGATTTTATTTAGTCTTTTGCTGTTAATGTATGTACATCTGCAGCTGTTTCCATAAAAATTATAGTACAGAAGGTATTTTAGTCCTCCAGGTTGGGGGGTTGGTCGCAAGGCTAACAACCTTGCACCGTAAAAAGGAAGATGTTTCGAAACCTTGATCAAAGCATCGGACAGACTGACCTAACAGAGGACCGAATGGAAGAGGAGAATTGAGGAGGCCACGGACCGAATACGGACCAGAGAGCCATAGAAGAAGAAGAAGAAGAAGAAGAATACTGAATGGCATTAGTGTTGCTCCTATCTATCAAGTTCATTTCTGCCATGTTGTACTGTTGATAAAAAAGTAATATCCAATGGCATGCTGTTGATACTGAGTTTCATAAAAATTGTTGCTGATATTCATAAATGAATCGTGGGAAGAATACATCCATAGGAACAGTCCCTCCTTCTTCTTCTTCTTCTTCTTCTTCCCTAAGTTACCTGCACATTTCTTAATTGCTTACCTTTCAGCATATTGCACACATGTTTCATCTCCATAAGTTTGGTATACTAGATCTGATTCTTCTTTTGTTAAATTGGCAAAAGTGGAATCATAAGAGGGGGCATAAGAGCCAAAAGCACCATAATACAATGGTTTAACTGTAAATAAAAGAAATGTTTGACATAAAACACAAAAAATACACTACATAGCAGGATAACAAAACCATAATACTATTGAAAGACATATCACAATAAGATAAACATAGCATCTCACCTATTTAATATACATTACTGACCCAATGAGATTTACTGTTAAATGATAAATGCAAATTTAGACCTAATAATGAATGACATACTCAAAAGATTTATGACTGGCTTCAACAAAATATAAAATTCTGTCAAACAAATCCAAGAAATTGTATGCTTCTTACTGATTTATATGCATTTCCATTAGTCAAGTTCATGAATATAAAACATTTCTATAAATAAAACTGTCAATCAAATATCTATTCTGTCCTGCCAAACATAAAATTCAAACCATTCATTCATACCAGTCTTAGCAAGATTCCGCCTGTCCTCCCTGAACCCTTGCAGTTGACCTGTTCCATGTGTGAGTTTTCCAGTCAACATTCCTAATGAAATGGGTCGTTCGTTGGTCCCTGGTGTTACACCTTCCCCAGGAACAAGAACTGATAAAGATGTACTACCATCTTTACGCTGTCTCAAAAATCCCAGCTTAAAAAAAAAGGATAATAAAAATTAAACAAATCCACAATTCAGTTCCAACCAAGAAATATACAGAACAAATTCTCATGTTAATTTGCATCAATAATTCTTTAACCCCCCTGATAAGTGACAAATTTCCTTAAACGATCTTCATACATATGTTTCAGTGATATGTTAAATTATGTTATTTCAAAAGTTTAATAAAACAACCAATCATAACATATTATATGGTAGCATCTCTTGAACTGCTTGGCAGAACTGAAGAAAAGCAGGAAAGCCTCAATAATATTAGTCAACTACAAAGCATTATAGCATAGGCAAATCTATTCCAAAAAGTGGACAACAAGGCAAGGAAAATAGTTCATACATGCACGCACACACGGGCATGTGCGTGCGCACACACACATGTATGTATATGTATCTGTGTATGTGTGTGTGTGTGTGTGTGTGTGTGTGTGTGTGTGTATAAACTGCTTTATAGCAAGCCATCACATTAAATTTTGCATAATAAAAATGTTATAAATACAAATATTAGCAATTAATTCAATGTCTCGTATTTGTTTTCACAAAGGATTTACAAAATCAAACCAGCAACTCGTTCTTAGTCAGTTAATGCACAGCATACATTATAGTTATGCAATACTTCCATAAAAAGCAGTTGAAAGAATACCACAAGAAATTTTTATCAAAGGCACTGAGCATCAAGTTTAAAAAAATAACATTTGTTTTCGAACATAATTTGCACCAAAATAAGCATGAATTATGCCAGAAAACAAAACACCAAAGCCAAATGTCCAGCAAATAAAAGTGAACCAGATTAAATTCATATAATATGTTGCAGTTACATTTGTGTTTGGTCTCTTAAGAGTCAGCCTTTCAGTTGCTGCCTGTGCTGCTCTCTGTGCTTGTTCGAGAATTTCTTCTGGGGTTAGGTCATCTGGTATAGCTTCAAACTTCCCACTGGAAACAGTCAAAGAAAGATGTTTCATTCTTGGTCACATTAGTTGTTATACATTATGTGAAACAAAAAATTAAGAACATGTTTATGATCACGCCACACGAATTTCATAACCCTTTGCTTCATTCAGAAAAATGTTATATAAAATTTATAGATCTTAAAACGATAAAGTCTATGTCATAAACAAATTTTACATATTATCAACAGGCATGGAACTGTCGAATACGTACGGCAGTCAAAAAGTTCCCAGAATTGTGGTATAGCACTGTAAGGGCGGTATCGCACTAGGATGCCAACGGGAGGCCATGGCGCAGCTGCCAGCATCTCAGCCAAACTCAATGTATTAATTTAGTAGTCATATATCGCACCTGGCATCCGTCTGGCAGCGCTTCAAACTTGGCATCGATGTCAACCACGATGCCAAGTGAAAATGTTACTGGCATCGCTGCCACGGCCAAGGACAAATCAACATCACACGACAGTCTGAGGCCAGTCCATTGACGTTCGTGCGCATATAGTTCAGCTTCATTCACTACGGCAGCTTATACCACAGAAACATGACATTAAGTAGCTCACACCATGAAGTACATTTCCGTGTTATATTTTAATGTTTTTAAACTGTTGAGATGCTTGATCATGAAAATTCTCAGCCTGTATTAATTAGATGTTTACATTTTACTTTTATTTTTATTTGTACTTTGTATATTATAATTATTAACCATATTTTATTGCATGAATGTTATTACATGCTTTACGGAGCAGAGTGTTTTGTAAGAAGATATGTGTGTGTATTACACAAACCTGATGATGGCAAAGGTGGACTGAAACATGCAAGGAACAAAATAAATCATCAGCACATCAGTTATATTTTGATGGTTCCTTCAGGTAACATTGACACTGTATTTTATGTTTTCAGTATTCAAACAAATGCATATATTTGTTTTCCTACTGATGTATAAAACAGCGTCCTGTAATATTATAAATATACGTAGGGCAGTCAAAAAGTTTCCGGAATTGTGGTATAGCACTGTAATAGTAGGACATATGGCAACGCTTACCTAATCACCTTCAAAGTAGGACCCTTGCACACGCACACACTTGCTCCATCGATCCTGCCATTGTTGGAAGCACCGGCGGAAGGCTTCATTTGGAATCTTCCACCTGTGCTTCCAACAATGGCAGGATCGATGGAGCATGTGTGTGTGTGTGTGTGTGTGCGCAAGGATCCTACTTTGAAGGTAAGCATTGCCATACGTCCTACCATTACAGTGCTATACCACAATTCTGGGAACTTTTTGACTGCCCCTCATATTGTAAGTTCTACATAACTGTACAGTATGCTTATGGACTGATAGAAGTTACTACATAACATAGCAGTAGATATGAATGCAAGCGATAAAGCCTACCCATTAGTGGCAGGAATGTGAGAAATAACAGCGATGCATTACAATAGGGAAGGGGTGAATTACTCCTAGTCCTAATGTTACACCCACAACTGTAAAACTGACTTAGGAGGTAAATGGCACAAATACACAGCTGGATTTGAACCCTGATAGACCATTCCATTGTGGCATCATAATTCTGTGCTGCTAGGCCACAATACTGCATGAATGCTACTGTCAATAGACCAGGAGAAAAGCCCTGCGGAGGGAAGTCGTTTCTGGGGCGGTGCAGGGGGAATATTTACTATCAAGTGGACTAGAGGGCTGCTATTGGTGGGAAGTTTGAGACATCAGAGTTTTACACTACCACACACAGACTGAAAACATCAAGCAGTTAAGAGTATCGTGTAGTGAGAGCACCTCTAATGAGTTCTGTGGGTGTTGTGATAATATTCTAGATTAAATCACTGTGCCTCTGTTAGGTAATCTTAAAACTGTGCCCATTAGATTACATGAAAGCCTGTTGTCTGTTGTTTGTTCAGTGGTTGTGGAACGAATGCTTTTAGGATGGGTCGTCACTCACTGCAAAATCTTGCGCATGTGCGTGTATCGCATTCCTAGCAGGGCTTTTCTCCTGGTCTGTGGACTGTACACATATATCTAGTATTTACACGAAAAAAGCAGCAGTGTTTCAAACAATACTAGACTAGTCAATCATATACATAACATGAAAAAGACTCACAGTGGTCTACTAGCTTCCTTCAGCTTTCTCCTGTGTTCCCTACGGAGCTCCGATGACTCTTCCCCTTCTTCTCCGACAGTTTGATCTTCTGGTGTTTCCATCTTCACACCTCCAGGTACCTGAACAAGTTCCTCAAAGCCCAAATCAAATCCAAGCTCATCGCAAGTTAACTCCCCCATGTATGTCAGAACAGAATGGAGTGGCTTCAACTTATCAGGACTCATCATTTTAAGCCCAACATGAAGAAGCCTCTTGGCAGCTTTATAGTAGATTGTGTCTGGATGATTGTACACCATGGCATTGTTGCACATCAATTTGAAATCCTCCTGTTTGCCAAAATAAACAATATTTCATCCAAAAACAAAAATTACAACTGAGCTACTAAAACAAAAGTAAATGTAAAGCTCTCCCACTATACACCATGTAGGCAATTGGGGGGGAGAGGAGGTAAAGCACCTACTCATTCTTAACCTCTGCCTTAGATAGGTGTAAGTGGTCAGTGTCATGCCTTGAAGTGCTTCACTCCCAGGAAAGGACCCTGGTACCATGTAAGGTTCGTGAATCAGGGAAGCCATCAGGGCTTTAGTACATCCCAATAACTTCAACAGGGAAGATGGACTTCACCTGAGCCGGTCCTGGAAGCCTCTTATTCACACTCTTCTGGGCTCCGAGAGCAATCCAGAGTGCACCACCAGAACCAACCAGACGATTAACCTGGCCCTTTTCAGGGCCCCGATCACATTCAACTGAACTCCCGATGTCCCACCGGACGCACTTCCCGAGCCCCCCCTTTCCTTTCTCTCCCTCTCTCACACTCGTCCACGCGCTCCTATTGGTCCACTCCCACACCTGCTCCCATTGGCTCGGGGCAGACTACTCCATTCACAGTCCGGCTCCTATAAACCTAGCCCCACACACCCTATTGGCATATTCATCGCCCTGATTACGGAGGCAGTATGACCTCTGAAACGTTGGTTAACATCAACCAGACTACGCAGAGCAACAACCCAGAAGACAGAAATCTTCTGACCCTGGTACCCATTGGACAGGCCCCAGAGCTGGTCTGGATGCAGAGGAAAAATCCTTTGCCCTGTCAGGAATCAAATCCTGGTCATCCAATCCATAGTCAACCACTATACCTACTGACTGGTGTACCATAGCTCCTACAACTGAGCTACTACTTATATTAATATAACTAACATATATTAAGAAAGTCAAATATAACATAAAACTACACAAATCTTGTAACTTTATAGCTGGACATAATGTAGAGATCCAAAAACTTGATGTCATTTAACAGCTTACAATTCAATACATTATTTTTGTTTATTTTGCCCATTCTAAATGTTGTTGTGTAAAGCTAACCAAGGATGGCTTTGCTCAAGAAACAAATGAATTAATTTATAAGCTTTATCTGTTCCATTTTACCTAATCATTTTTGGTATATGCTTAACTTTAAGTAATATCTATAATGGAACTACTTACAATATATTCATTAAGAGCTGAATACTGATTTTCATCAATTTTCTGTTTCATTGTGCTGAAGTCCATTGGTTGGTGAATGATCTGAGAGTAACCTGGTGCTATGTGATCTGTGACTGGCCATGCAAAAAACTGTTGTGGATCCCTCTTCTCTAGACCCTTCAGAAGATAATCCAAAAGTTTTTGAAGAGGTGAGCGCTCCTGTCGCTGACGTAGCACACATGACCGTGGCTCACGAGAAAGTCCAACCATACCAACAGGAACTACAAAAATAAATGTCTGTCAATTTCAGAAACAATTAATATCAGTATCAAAATGTTACCAACTCAAATATACCATTTGCTTCTTCATTATCTGTAACAACACTACTTTGTATTTTTGCAGCAAGACAAAAACAACAGAATTTGGAAAATACATAATGAAATAAAAATACAGGGCCAGTGAACTAAATGATGAATTCTTAAGTAGTAAGTTTTGCAACTCTGAGATTCCTACCAAACATTGCAAATGAGTAGTTTGAATTTTTGTGCTGAATTTAGAAGACCCAAGATTCAAATCTTAATAAGCTAGCTCTCTGTTTTCAGTGAGAATTCAGGTCCTATAAAGGCAAGTATGAAGATGATAGCCTTCTGGTATATTGCACCACAGTCTTGTAGAAGATGACCAACAAATCAGAGGTGCATACTGCCTCCATCATTATAAACCTCAAATGTCAATCAACTTCTATGAGACTACATGGTGTAATATCCCAGATGGCTATCATATTCATCTTGGCTTAGGTTTCTTGTGACTTTCCTACATGCCTCCAGGCAAATGTTGAGACAGCATCTCAAAAAAAGCAGTTCATGCTTTCTTCAAAGTTTCTAATTTATCACACACTCATTCTACCATATAATGCAAGTAAAGGGGTGTAATTAAATAAACCAACCAATCATGCATTCAGGCCAGTGGTCCCCAACACAGTGCCCGCGGGTGCCATGGTGCCCACCAAGGCTTTTTTTGGGTGCCCGCATTGTTACGGAAAGAGGTTATACTGAATAATGAAGGCCATTCAACCATGAACATTATAAAATCAAAGCACAGATCTATAATTACTAATGCCCATCTTGACGAATGTTTGCGAGCAGCAACATCATCCTACACTTCCAAATTTGAAAAACTGGCCAATGAAATACAGCGCCAAACATCACACTGACTTCCCACTTGAGTAATAATAAGTGTACTTATAAAACTACGTATTTTTGATTGCATGGTTTCTTGTATCATAAAATGTCCTGTTGTTTTGTATATTAATTGGTGTTCATATCTTATTTGTCCAGAGAAAATAAAATTTGGCTTTGTTAATTGGTTGGTGCCTGCCACGATCTCATAAACTCTCAAATGTGCCCGTAGGCACAAAAAGGTTGGGGACCACTGCTCCAGGCAATACAACACTGCATCGTGTAAATATGTTCTACTACATGCAAACCTAATTTCTGAATTCACTTCATGTAAGTGAATGTCTGATTCAAACATTATTGATTGTGTATGTGTATACAGAGGTTCACTCACAGGCATTCTAAGTGTGTAAGAAATATTCGTGTCTTTAATGAAGTAAATAACCTTTTAATAAATATTGGCACAAAAGTAAGACTGCAGTTTCAAGTCAGGTTATGTATGCCATACCAGTGTTTTTTTTAAAAGGTTATGGCCCTTGGTTACTTGCAGACATTGCAGTGTAAGACTACTTTCATACTGTTATGTCCACATGCCTTTCAATACATCTCTTATGGGATGGATGAGGATTTTTTCATTATGACAGTTTACAGTTTCCAAAATGTCACAAGACTTCCAGCATATACCGTCTCTTTCACAAAACTGAAGACAAAGTCCAGTCTGGTGACCTTGCTAACCAGCATCAAAAGTGCTCATTCAACTGATCAGTCACACGCACATGCAAGTAAGACAGAGAGCAACATAGTGGACCACAAAGATTTCAACTTCTTCTTGTAACACCAAACACTATGACCAAACATTGTGTTGGCCATTGAAAATTTCCTACCAAGTTGCACACACCTGGCACATTTAATTATTCCTGTGGGTTCTGGACACTCTAATAAACAGATGATAACATTAAGCATGTGAAGGTTACCTCATCAGTCGACATAATGTTCCTAATAAAATGAGGATGGTTTCCAAATTCACTTAACATGATGCTACAAAACTCGTACCTTTTTTCTGCAGTCAGCTTCATACAAGAATTGAATAATTCTATATTTAAATGCAAGTCATTAAAGATACTGTTCAAATATCTTCTTTAGATTCGAAGACTTACTGATTCTCATCTCCATATATTTGAAGGTCTGTGAATCAATGTCATAACTGGCTTAAGTGTTTCATTAATTCCGGATTCTAAGAAGTAAAATTCTCTGTTCCAGGGTTAATTTAGGCATTACTGTACTGCATATATTCAGTGTACACATTGTAACATCAGCAAACATTACCACGTAACAATCCTTAATGGCACTGCAAATCCAGAAAAAACCCTTGTCATTGTAATACTCAACCTGACTTCAAACTATATTGCCACTTTTGCTCCACCTTGTATTTCAACAAGGAATGCCAAGTAGATTTTTATTGCAAAGTAAGTTTTGGAGAGCTTTTCATTCAACCAACCCTAAGCTTCAATAACACAAAAAACTCATGTGCATACTTTGGCCTGAATGATGATGATATAAACCATCTCCTGGCATACCGTGGTTTTGTATAATTTCTCCTACAATACTTGGTTTCAGATTACAGTTGCTGACATCCCCCACTACCCTCTTTGGAAGAGGTGGATCAGAAAGTGACTCTTCACCCATACTGATGTCATCCTGACTTGATTCATCACGAAGCCGCTTACGTTTCTCCTACAAACAATATTAAATAAGACAGGAATATAAAATAACAGTCCAGTTCTGAGCATGCTTTATTTATTTTATATTTCATTTGCATGTTTCCTGCATGATTTAATGTTTCAAACATGAAACATCTTTCATAGTATAATGTAGGATGCAGAGAATGTAACATGTATGCCTCATTATAGCCATATATTTTACAAGTATACTTCAGTCATTTCTCTATTGTGAAGGGAATAAAATATGTTATAAATAATCTACAAGATTTTATTACCATCATTTGCACACTGTGCAGTGTCAGCTCCCTTCTGCCCCCTACACTCGACACATGTCAAGCTTGCTGTCGACAGTCTTCTGGGTTATCACAGTGTGGACTTTTAGTTAGATACCAACATTTCAGAGAAACATATTCCAGCCCTAAACATGGAGACTGTATGTTTCTCCAGAACACTGGTCTGTACTGATATGTCCACATGGCATTATGACCCACAAAACTGAAAATAACATCTTCACACTTGTGAAAACCAAATATCACATATAGCACACTCCTTGTTCTGCAACAACTATACAGACCTGAGTTCTGACATCAAACAATCATAAACATAAATCGTAATTCACATGCATTGAGGGAGGTGGAAGAGAAAGTGCTTCTGTATTCATGGTTCATACTTTTGCTTACCTTATGATGATGTTTATGTTTCTTTTCATGTTTGTCTCTGTCTTTATCTTTTTCCTTTTTCTTCTTTTTCTTTTTGGCTTTTTTGTGTTGCCTTTCGCAATGTAATTCCTCCCTTCCAAGGAATGATGCTGCGGAATGTCTTGACTCTTCATCACCCGTTGTTGGAGCTACACTATAGTTGTTCGAGTGTACTAGAGGAATTGACGGACCTGGAGAATCGCTACTGTGTTCTGGAGTCGATGAGCTACCAACCTTCAGGATTAGCTTAAGCGCAGGCGGTTTCTCAACTCCAAACTGTTTATCTAGAATGAATAATTTCACGTTCAAATAGAGGATTCTAGTAAGAAACCCAACAGTAACGACTTCTAAAATGAAGACCGGTATTAACCTGGAGAGACAATTCAGTTCGATACATCTGGTAAGAGCTCTTGACGTAAGTGCACACTTAGTACCTGTCCTCTCATAAACAGCCATCCTACCGCTTGACTGCATGTCATTTCAAACCCATAACACCAATACTTATTGCATTAGTCTACTACCAACTTACCTTCGTATCGATCTCGTTTGTCAGATTTATGTTTCTTGTGCTTTTTTGATCCCATTCCTAAAGAATCAATAATTCATAAAGAATCCCTATCTTATTATCTTATGTAAATGTTAATTTGGTTCAGAATAGTACCACATCACTCATAGAAAATCTAAGTAATCAGAACATAAACGAAATAAACGCAACAGACCCACGCAACCACAGACGCCATTTTGGTTGCCACGGCTTCTGTAATAATCACCAGCAGTAAAATAAGTCATATAAGCTAGTCCATCAAACGTTGTTATTCAAAATTATTTAATCACGACTTTGTTAAAATTGTTACATCATTTATGCTGGCTCTTTTAATGCAGGTGCAGATTATCACTACACACTGCCACTTGTACTATTCAACATGTTCAGCAGTTGGCGAAAGAAAAGAGAATGGCGCCCATCATTTTATTGGCATTTGTTAGGTGTTTCATGAGCAGTACATTATGTGCTCTGTAAATGAAGTCGATTTTGATGACGATGAGCAATGCATGGAAAAGAAATCCGTCGTATTGTACGTAAAAATATTGCCAAAATGCATTATACATTCCTTCGAAAAAACAATGGTGTTCCAGAGTTGCAACAAGAGTTAATATGCATCAACGTGGAACATAACCTCGGACTTAACTGCATATACAAAATTCTGTATTCTTGCTTATTGTATTTACCATAATTGTGGCTTTCATAAATATATGCGAAAGAATTAAACTGTGTAGAATGAGTTTATATATCACTGTACTCATGTTTGTAGATTAGGTATTGGAAGTGTTTTAATATAAAATAGAATTATGCAATTTTACGTTTTCAGAACTGCAGACACGTGTAAAAAATGCAACGAAAGAAAAGCTGAGGTTCTCCGGTTTCTGGACGCATATTGCAGGTACCATGTGATTCTACCAAGAAACATGTCATATAATGAACTACCAGAAACTTTGATTTGTCTGTAAAACATACTGAACCGAATGAAAAATAGTTGTGCTTTCTTTGCAGGGAATGTTTCTTAGCAGCAGCAACTCACAAATTCAGAGCTTGTCTTGGTAAATCAAAGGTAGTCAGACCAAAAGATCATGTTCTTATTGCATTCTCTGGTAGCCAGTCTTCAGTTGCTTTGCTTCACTTAGTAAATGCAGGACTGAAGGAATGTAGCCACAAACGACTGCTGTTTACCTGCTCTGTTGTTTATATTGATGGTTAGTTGAGATTAAATTCTTTATCGTTAAAATGGAAAAATATTTAGAAAAATGTTTTCATTATTCTGACATGCCCAAATATTTTATTACAGAAGGAGCTGTACTTGAATTATCTCCAGATGACCGTAATGAAATATGCACCTCTATTGTCCAACAAGTTAAGAAATTTAATCTCCCACTTTGCATTACTACCCTAGAGAGAAGTTTAGGAGATTTAGACATAAGCTACTACAGTGATGGTGGCAACACAAGTAATACTGATGACCAGAAAGAAGAGCAGTTGAAGAAACTTATCAGTTCCATTCACAGTTTGACAGGAAAAAAGGATTTTCTTCATAAATTGCGGTAGGCTCACTGGCTACTTTATAATGCATTATATATTCATCTTAGCAAATGGGTCCCATTATTGGGTCAACTTTTTTACTGTTTAAGATCACGTCCATGTTTAATTTCAAGAGTAAATGAATACAGTTAAACTTTAGTATGTGAAACCAATAATTTCTTTACACTTGCAGATTAAGACCTATTACCTGTAAATGAGATATGTTCCTTCGTGAAGAATATCTAAATGTCCAACCCAGAAATTAAAAGAATGTTATGTTTTAGGGATCCATTCCTTCCTCAGAAATTCTGTTATGCTTTATTCCTCAACCTGCATTGTATTGTTATTACAAATAAGTCTATCTTACCTACATCTTAGAGGCAGTTGAGTCATCTTTAAACCTGCTAAAAATTGTAATGTAACCTGTCAGACTGAACACTTCTGACATGATCATTTATATCATGATCTACATAAACATGTGAAAAACAATACTGGAACCATAAAGCTATATCACTGTATTCAAGGGTGTCCATAGCAAAGAGAGAGAATTCCCAGAATTGTCCATTTAATCATATAAAAATTTGTTGATAAATGAAAGGAAGTTGTATATTATGACATGTGGAGAGGTAAGATCTGCTGCACAGAGATCTACAAACCAATTACACTGCTAGCATATGCTTGAGTTACTTTCTCACAATGCCATAGCTCAGGCAGCTAGATGATGGCTTCTCATCACAGAGACCTGGATGGCTTCAAGTGGGATTCCTAGTATACAAAGTGGCACTGGAGAAGGTTTTTCTCCAAGTTCTTCACTTTCTTCTGCTAACCATCATCTGACCATTGCTTCAGACTCATCTGTCAGTGCCCTACCCAAGCAGCAAATTATTGTACTCTCTGACCTTGCACTTGGTCGTGGAGTAAGATGGTGTAGTCCTGTCAAATCAAATATCTCTTAACAGATGTTAGTAATTAACAATGATTAGGAGTACAAAGAACTATCATTGTAACATAGTTTTGGATCTGGTTATACATGTTCCATTACATAAATATAACAATGAAAATTGAGACCCCTTAATTTGTCATATGTAGTTTTTCTTGTTTGATATTATCTGTTTCTGTATCTCTTAGGAATCAACTTCTTCTGAAAACAGCCAAAAAACTGAAGTGCACAAAAATCTTCTCAGCAGATACTGCAAGTCACTTGGCTGTCAAGTTACTAAGCAATGTAGCTCTTGGACGAGGAGCACAACTTCCATTGGATATTGTATGTTGCTAATAATAGATAACTGATCATTCTGACACAAAAATACTCTTATACACTATATATATATATATATTTGTGTGTGTGTGTGTTGAAGAAGAATTAAGAGAAGTATAATTTACTAATTGTCCCACATTTATATGTAAAGCCCATGTGTGTATATAGTTTGCCATACAGTTAGATATTAATATTTGCAATTATGCCATGTTCAGTCATCGTCCATACTCATAAAATGGGCATGCAGAAGTTTTTCACATATATATGCCTTTTATGTTTCTTCCTTTGGAAATTGTGTCAGAAACTTTAATTCCACCAATGCTGAACTCGATTTAATGTTTCTGTGCAGGGGTTTTGTGACACACGTGACACAGATGTTATGTTACTTCGGCCAATGAGAGACTTCACGAAGAAAGAAATTGTGTTTTATAACATTTTCAACAAACTGGAATCTGTTGTTATTCCTTCACTTGGAACAAAGGTTAATTTCTTCACATATCTGAAAAATACATTTCTGATGTATGTAACATTCAGTCAGTTTTGTAATTAATGTAAAATTATGACTACACACAGAATGTAGGTTTACATTTTGATTTTATAACCAGATGTGAACACACTAGTTGCTCATAAATACATCTTCAAATATTTTACTGTACTTCCACATGTTTCAATGCTGATGTATTATCATCAAGGTACAGATATGATTACCAAAGTGTAAGAATATAACATAATACATTATTCATACTTATTGTAATGTATCAATACAGGTAGCCAAGTGAGATTATATATACATATGAAAAGTGAATAAAATTGTTGTTTACTGAATACCATATTTTACTTTATATAATGTACACAACAAGGATTTCCCAATGTAGAAGTTTATGCGTGTTTTCAGAAATGCTACAGTGAACTGCAAAGGCTACATTTACCAAAGAATATAGAAAGTGCCTTTACAAGACTTGTACTCACCTAATGTATTTTCTACTTCTATAACTGTTTAGTCCCCCCCAAAGATCTGCAAATGAAACATGAAAAATATTTTCTGTAGTTTCATCTTGGAATTCATGTTCAGTTTATATTGTACATTTGGATGTAATAAATTAGGAGTTTAGTTGTGTAAAAGAATGAACATTTTTAAATTGACATCTTATCATTTTATTTATGTAGTCTGATCCACATGCAAGCATTCAAAAACTGACTGAGAAGTTTGTCATAGATCTTCAGGAAGATTTCCCAGCAACTGTGTCCACAATATTCAGGACAGGAGACAAACTAAGCTTAGGGAATAACACAACTGAAGGTGATAACTTCTGTACTCTCTGCCAGGTATGTCAAATCCGTCGTAGTACGATACAGAGAATAGACAGTAATGTTAAATACAACTCTAATATAAACAGGGTGAACTAGAATACTACAAACAACTCATATTTATGATTGTAATGGTTTTCTTCCATTCACAGGCTCCTTTGGATACAACATTCACAGCATCATCAGCTCTTCAGGCGACAGAGTTTTCGCGTACGGTATCAAATCTTGGGCCGTGCGGCTTTGATATCAGATCAATTTGCACTCTGAATAATGGCATATCTGACTCTAGTAATGAACATAAAGATAAGTCAGGCAGTGCTTTAAGGTATTGTAATACCTCGGCAGTGACACCTACAAGCAAGAAGAAAAATACATGTGGAGAAGATGGAGAAGACTGCCATTGTCACAAAAACACCGCCAATATAACATTATTGGAAGTAGAAGCCTGCTTCTGTTACAGCTGTAGACTTATTGCAAGGGAAATGGTTTGTATGTTAGACTTTTTCATTTGCTATATTGTATTAAGAAATTGCAATCAAGAGAATCAATTGGTTGCATCCCATGCTGTGAAGAAACTTAATTGTTGAATGTATCATCTGAAGCCAACAACTGCAACAGAGTTTATAATGATGATACAAAAATATTTTGTATTTCTGTTTACAGGAGTCATTAGAAATGCTACCTGTAGATGTCATATTTAACATCAAACAACGTCTGAGGTACAAAGAAATGAGAGAAGAAATTGAAGATTTTCTGTTATGTTGATTAAATGCACACCTTAATCAAACAGAATTGCTAATTATATTCAATGTCTGTCTTATTAGATTGAAAAATGAACCTGAACCATGCACGTAGTCATTTCAATCAGTTCAGTGTTTAAATAAATCTGAATGCTGAAAGACAGAATGAACTTCCTTTTTTATCAGATCTGAACACACTCCATGTTCTTGCTCTTAAGGTGAACTACTATCAAAGAAACAGGTCTGAATTATGATTTTAATAAGATATTTCATAATACAAAACTTATTCTTCCTAATAATGATGCTTTAAGGTGAAGTGACTGAACATAGTTTAATAGAAGATAGATATAAATGTATTAGTAATTCACAGAAAAACAATTATATTTTAACTTTATGTAATATATGTGCATTTTATATAATTGTTCTTGTTAGCTTTGTAAATTACACTACCGCTTACAAACATTCTTCTTACATGGGGAAACAACTGTAGTTGTACTATGTGAATTGTGTTAATAAAATTTGGATTCCTATTTCTCCAAAGTTCTAATTTTGAATTCTGTCCCTTCTTGTTTCTCCTTCAATAATTCTATAAAATTCCATGTCCATTGCTTGGATTTTGCTTTTGTCATTCTTTGTGAGTGTCCGTGTTTTTGGTATTAAATGTTAGAGTTAGTTTAAAATACTGCTTTATAACTCACAGTTTTGCATTCTTTTGGGGTGTTTCCTTTTCCTTTTACAATATCAGAATTTGGATCTATATTGTATTTTTCTATTGAAATCTGTTGGATTTTCAATTCTGAATTTATTTCATTTCCCAGTTTATTAATCTGATTAAGAAACTCTCTCTTATGGTTGTTATTGTGAAAGGTTCAGTTTCAAGAAGACAGCAATCTTCTGACTCACCGCTGTGAAAACCTCAAATCCTACGTTCAGTTTCAAATTCACAAAAGCCTGACACTGGACTCTATCCTCAGCCAGCGCATTCATTCACGTCCTATCTATCATCCATCGAAAAAAGTCTCCCTCATGCTTTTTTCTCATGAGTGTGCTTCAACATGAGCTGCAAACTACTTGTGCTGAGTCACCTGTACTCATTTTGTAGTCTTGTTCTAAATGAGAAAAGTCTTAAAATTCCCTCGCCACACATCACTGGTATAGGTTAAACCGAATTGGGGCTTTGGAGTTAATGACCTTCCAAATATTTACTTTCAGTCACAAAGAGTAAATACAAAAGGCATTTGCTTAACTCGACCCGATACTAAATGATATCCATAAAATGCACATTTTTAAATTTTTAATGATCAGATCAATGTAAGAAACTCCATACTATAAATTTAAAAATGTTCAGTTTCTGAATACAAGACATATAATGGGAGATACTTCTTCTCTTATCGACTGGGTTTCGATCCCCGATGGGGGCAGAGGATTTTTCCTCTAGCCTCTGCGCCCAGACCAGCTATGGGACCCACCCAGCCTCCTCTACAATAGGTACCGGGGGTAAAGCCGGCCGGGGCGTGATGCTGACCACTCACCCCCATCTAGTGCTGAGGTCAAGAAAGAGAGGAGCTATACCTCCACTCACCTCAAGCGCCTGTATGGCACGTAGCAGGACAAACGTTTTTACTCCCACTCTTATACAGAACTTGTACACCAAAGCCCACTACTGAGCCATGATCCTGTGCCACTTCAATCTCATATGTTATCCTCTCAACTTCTTTTTGGTCTTCCACATGGGTGCTATACTACATGTTTAGTCCATCCCTCCTCAATTCCCTTAACAGTGCCATGTGAACTGTATTAAATAGATTTTAAAACAACATAACAATAAAA